TTTTTGGACCTTGTCTTGAAAAGAAGGAGCATCATTAGAAGAGCCAGCCCAAATATGACAGCAGTATTCCATACAGGGACGAATAAGAGGTTTGTAGCATGATAATGAGAAGTAACCTTAGTGGATGCTAATTTAGCAATCAATTGCATATATGGTTTCCATGAAAGGTCAGTAGTAAACAGTAGTCCATAAAGAAGTAAAGAAGAGGACTCAGTGAGATGGTTGCTATTCATTAATATAGGAATGTTGACAGTGCTGAGATAGTTGTAGTAAATGACTGAGTTTTGTTAGAGTTAAAGTTTACAAGCCATTGTAAGCTTAAGTCTGATACTCAATTAAGATCAGATTCAAGATTGACTGCCTATTTTAAGCGATCAAAAAGATAAGACTTTTTGTCAAGACAGAAATATAAAGTTGAGTTATCAGCATAGAGAGCTACTCTAGATGTTAGATTGTCAGGAAGATCATTAATGTAGATAAAAACCAAAATGGGATGTGAAAAATTTATTTATCAAAGCCTTAAAGACCTTGCTAATAACAGAAAGAAGACTGATCAGATAATGATTTAAGGATTTTCCAGTTTTCAAAACCTCCTGTTCAGCGGAGGTTTTAAAAATTGGAGTATCTGATTTTCCAATTTTCAGCAGGCAGGAAAACAAGACTCAGTCAAGCACTTGTTAAATAGTTTAGAGAGAATTGAAGAGAGTTTTAGAGAACAATTTTGTAAGACTACGACAGGAATGTTGTCTGGACAACAAGCAGTAAATTAGTTTAATTGAGATATGACTTTAGCAATCGAAGCTGGTGTGACTGAATGTCTAAAAATGGGTTAACATGTTTAATTGGAATTAAAGGAAGAATATGGCCATAAGATTCGAGAGTCAAATTAGTAGAAAAGTTCATTGCAAGTAGTTTTGCCTTGTTCTTGGGAATGAGATGGAATAAAAGCTTTTATTCCTGCCTGAATCCAGGAGATTATGTAGGTTGCACATTTTTCAGCTGAGAGGTAAAAGACATCAGCCCAAAGACAGTCATAAAGAAAATCACAAAAAGAGTTACAGTCAGCTTTAGGGTAGTAGTAAGTAGTGCGTTGATAGGGTGAGTCAGAAAAGGAGTACGAGGTAAAAAGTTCAAAGAGACCATTGCATGGTCAGAACCACCTAAAGGAGAAAAAAGATAAAAAAAACACACCTAAAGGAAATAGGATATATTACAACAGTCAGGTGATGGGGATGGTTTTTTTATGTTTAATATTTTGGGTTACTTTTGGCATGTTTTAAGTTTAAATAGAACTTAACTCATTCATAGAAAGAGCACGGCCTCCTAAGTAATGAGCAATTTTTTCAGTCCTGTTCATTTTTTTTTTTTTTTTTTTTATTTGCATTCACTCCCAACAAGGCTGCAAGCAACCACTATTAAGTTGGGAGTTACTAGGAAAAAAAAAGAACAGAGTTATAGAGCAAGGAAACGGTTGACAGAAGACTTGAAAAGTTGAAGGTTGTATGAGTCAGGAAAACATGAAGATGGGAGAGAGTTCCAAAGGATTGAAGTGCAGGGAAAAAAACTAGATGAATAAAAGTTTTTAGAGCATGCAGGGACAGATACAGTAAATGAATGAGACTTAGCTGAATAACGAGTAAAACGAGAATGAATTTTAGTTGATAGGACTAGAGATGATAACTCCTTTGAGCAGTGACCATGATAGTATCTGTAGAAAAGAGAAAGAGATGCAACTTTACGACGATGGGAAAGAGGTTCAAGCTTAGCAGATAGTCCAGGTCCAACAACATTTACAATGCGTTTTTGGACCTTGTCAAGAAGAGAAAGTGAATCGTTAGAAGAACCAGCCCAAATATGACAACAGTATTCCATACAGGGACGAATAAGAGATTTGTAGAGGTAGATAATGGAATCAGAAGTAAGGAAATGGCGAGCACGAAAAAAAGAGAAGCAACCTTAGCAGAAGCTAATTTAGCAATCGATTGTATATATGGTTTCCATGAAAGGTCAGTAGTAAGCGATAATCCAAGATGATGTAAAGAGGAGGACTCAGTAAGAGGATTGCCATTCATTAATATAGGAATGTTGACCATATTACGGTAGTTGTTTGCAGTAAGCAATTTGGTTTTTTTAGAGTTGAAATTCACGAGCCACTGTGAACCCTAATCTATTACTGAAGTGAGATCAGATTCAAGATCAGCTGCTTGTTCTAGGCGATCGAAAAGAGAAGACTTTTTGTCAAGACAGGAGTATAAAGTTGAGTCATCAGCAAAAAGAGCTACTTTAGATGAAAGGTTGTCAGGAAGATCGTTTATGTAGATAAGAAACAAAACAGGGCCCAGGATGGAACCTTGGGGAACCCCAGAAGTTACTGGAAATAAAGAAGAGTGTTGGCCTTCAAGGATGACTTTAATAAACCAGTTAGAAAGAAATGATTTGATAATCTCAAAAACTTTCCCAAAACACCATATGAAGCAAGCTTATGGAGAAGACCAGCATGCCAAACTTTGTCGAAAGCTTTAGATATGTCGAGAGCAATAGCCCTAGCTTCACTGCCTCCATCTAATGCATGATAAAATCTTTCAGTTACAGCAGTTAGCAAGTCGGCCGTAGAGCGAGAGGATCGAAAACTTTATTGATTGTCTGACAGTAGTTTATTTGATTCAAGATAAGATATGAGGAATTTGTTGATCAAAGAATCAAAGACCTTGCTAATAACAGAAAGAAGACTGATCGGACGATAATTGGAGGGGTCAGAATTTTCTCCAGAGTTTTTGAATATTGGAACCACAGATGCCATTTTCCAACAAGCAGGAAAACAAGACTCAGTCAAACACTTGTTAAATAGTTAAGAGAGAATTGAAGAAAGTTCTGGAGAACAATTCTGCAAGACTGTGACAGGAATGTTGTTTGGACCACAAGCTGTAGACGAGTTTAATTGAGATATGACTTTAGCAACAGAAGCCGGAGTAATTTGAATGTCTAACAATGGGTCAACCTGTTTGACTGGAATGGAAGGAAGAGAATGTCCATAAGATTCAAGAGTGGAATTAGAAGAAAAGTTCTTTGCAAACAGTTCTGCCTTATCCCTGGGAGAGGTAACAAGATCAGTCCCATGAATGAGAGATGGAATGTTAGATCTACCCTTGTTAACAATGCTGTTGAAGATTTTCCAAAAGTCTTTAGAGCCTAACTTCTGCGATAAGATGCGAGATTTAGTGAACTGAGAATAATGGAGTTTAGCATCAGAAAGCACCTTTTTACATCGATTTCTTGAAATAATAAATAGCCGTTTGTTCTCAAGAGAGTTGTTCTTTTGAAAAAGGTAAAAAAAATGGTTACGATCGGATATGGCAGCCGCACAAGAAGGAGAAAACCATGGAGTAGAATGAGGCTTGACTTGAAACCGACGCGAAGGAATAAAAGCTTCCATTCTAGCCTGAATCCAAGAGGTTACGTAGGAGGTGCATTTGTCAGCTGAGAGAGAAAAAACATCAGCCCAAGGACCATCACGAAGAAAATCACAAAAGGAATCCCAGTCAGCTTTAGGGTAGTAGTAGGTGGTGCGATGATAAGGTGAGCCCAAAAAAGAAGTGCGAGAAGAAAGATTTATAGAGATCATTGCATGGTCAGAACCACTTAAGGTAGGAAAGGGAGAAACTGAACATAAGCTAGGGTCAGAGACAAGACATAAGTCAAGGAGTGAAGGTAAATGATTAGGGTTGTCAGGAAAACGAGTCACAAAGTTAACTATCTGAGTAAGAGATTGAGAAACGCAGAAGTTAAAGGATTTAGTCCCAGCAGGGTCAGTGGTGTTAGAGCCAAGCCATTCAGTGTGATGGGCATTAAAATCACCACCAACAACAATATTGGCAGAGGGGTAAAGAGAGAGGGCATGGTCAATTTGATCAGAGATAACATCTAAAAGAGTGCAATCATGGGAAGAAGGAGAACAATAAAGAACAAAGAGAAAGGTGATAGAGTGAAGAGGTGCTAGGCGAAAGCACATAAAAGAATGGTCAAAGGATTCGAACCTGATTTCACGACAAATAGGGGAATTAATATGTATGTATACCCCTAAACCTAGCATGTGACTATTGGAGTCTTTACGAATCAAAGGATAGTACCTATCAACACTGACATCTGAAGAAGGAATTGCAGAACTTAAATTTGTTTCACCGAGTGCAAGCAAGTCTGGTGAATTTTGCAGGAGGTAAGACTCAACTGATGGAAAGTTGCTTCGTAGACCGCGAATATTTGTAAAAGATATATTAAAATATTTAGGTGGTGGGGATGGTTTTTTAGGTTTTAAATTTTTGGTTACTTTGGTCATGATTTGGGTTTAATGAGAACTTGACTCATTCATACATTTACCCTGAGTAATATGCAATTTTTCTTAGTAATATGCAATTTTTTCAGTCTTGTTAATTTACCTTAAGTCATAACATAGGGCTCCTTGTGTGACCTTGACAATGCACACCAAAAGCATTAATAGGGACACTCTCCATGGGCTGTTAATACTCTGGTATTTTTCAGTTTTTAATGGAATCAGCCTCTCTGGGAGCTACCACAGAGTTTGGGAAACCTTACTATCTTCTGGTCTCAGAACCATTAAACTGAGTTTTAGAGCTCTCATTAAGATATAACAGGCTGGTCAACAGAGTTATTCTGCTTACCTCTAAAGTATTTTCTTAGGAGACCTCCTACTAGACAGTAGCCGGATGCAGTTAACATCTGCCCTAGATGAGTATTTTTATTGAGACACTATCATGTTTAGTACAAAAAATTTGGTCATAAACATAAAGATCTGAATTTTTTTGAATATCCTATATAAAATAAGTGTTATTTTTTAATCCCGTTGATTTTATGTATTTTTTTTTTATAAAAAGTAATAAAATAATAAAAAGTACAGTTTTTTTAAAGTAGTTGCAAAGATTTTTTTTTTTTAGTAAATTTGTCAATCACCTAGTTTCTTACCTCCTAACTTAACTATTTTTTAGATTATTAAAATTATTTCAATGGTTTCTTTTAAAAAAGATTTGTTTATATATCTATTGGTGTGGTACAAGATAGGAAGTAAGTTATTTTTTTAATTTTGATTATATGACTACATTGTTTCACAGGAGTTTGCATATAATGTTTATACTTTAAATGTGGTCATATAATATTCCACATGAGATGAACATGCAAATAATACTTTATTTTAACAATTCGACCACAGCTTTTAATATGTTTTTATAAGTTTGAAAATCCGTTAAAAAAACTTATCTAGACTTATCTAAAAAAAAAACATCATTTTCAATAAGAAAGGAAATCTTAATGAATGAGAAGTCAACAAAAAATTAACTAAAGGTAAAACAACAACAAAAAATAACTTAACTAAAATAAAACTCTAACTATAATGCTAAGTTTATTTTAATCATGTTTTTAATTACACTTAGAACAATAAATTTTTAATCAATTAATGTTTATATAATATTATGGGAAACTTAAAATAAAAAGTACACTTCATTTCTAATGATTGTTTAAAAAATACTCACACTTACTTTGAATTGTAGTGTTGTTTTTTTTACTAATTAAAAATATAAGTTTCCATATAAATATGTGCTAGTAAATTATTATGCATTAACCCCTTAAATATCACCTAATTTTGGTGCGCAATAGCTCCAGCGTCAGGGTAATTTTTGAAAAGTGTAAGTATTATATAAAATGAACAAAAAGAGTTGAAAACATTAAAATATATAAAAAGTATAATTAAATCCATAATAAACTAAAAAAACCTTTGAAGAAAAGAAAAAAGCAGTAAGCTTCAATTTAAAAGTAATGTTTTAGTACACTATAGTAATTCTCAAAGCAAGGTGTAACACAGAATCCGACATCACTTTTTTTTGTAATAAATCACGTTATATTAGCACAGCTATGTATATTTGAATGTTGTTAATTGTCTTTAAATATGGAAAGATTTATAATGCTCTTGACCTATATTGATTTGATCTGAATATTTATTTGTCATTTTTATTTGTCATATCTACAAGTTCAAAAGAGTTCAAAAATCTTCAGCTGGTGTTACAGACTTATGGATAAATGAATCACAATATAAGATTTGCCTGCACATACCTAATACAAGTTTACTTTATGTCCAACAATAACTTTTGGTTTTCTTTTTGCAGCCATTTGCTGTCTTTTACTAAATAGAACAACAAAAGAAACAGGCTGGGTAACAATTATTTTATTGGTTTCAGCAATTAACTTGTTTATAACATCAATACTGTCCTCTTCCATAAATATATCTGTGCCATCCTCTAACATCATCAAGGTCATTATCACTAAAATCTGAAATTTCATCATTACTTTCAAGCATAATATTAACAATATCTTCTTTTGAGTTCAGTTTTGCATCACTAACTTTTTTTTTTACAACTTGCCAATTTTAAACATTGTTTACTATCATTCAAATTAATGCAATTATATTTTTAGAAAAATTGCCAATATGAGCTAAAGAATTTCTGTAGAAGAATGTTCTAGAATATAGGACTGATTTTACTGCTTATAGTTTGGTGTTGTGTCACACTTCTTCAAACAAATATTTGCATATATATATATATATATATATATATATATATATATATATATATATATATATATATATATATATATATATATATATATATATATGTGTGTGTGTGTGTGTGTGTCAACATCATTTTCGAAAGTTTTGTCTGACATATATATATGTCATTAACGGTTAAGAGGTTAAAATACCAATTCATTCTTTGTTTTAACATTTGTGCTTTGTTTTTTTTTAATTTGTTTCAAAAGAAATACATTTATCATAAAAAATATTTATATAAATAAAATAATAGTTCATTAACATATTATATAAAAAGTTATTAGATGTGTTTTGTTAATTCATTTAAAAGCGTTTTAATACTTTTTTTTTCAATAAGATTTTTTTTATCTTTTTAGATGTATTAATTTTAATGATTCTACAAGATTAATTTTATAAAGTTTTTATAATTGTTTGTAAAAACAAAACAATTTTTTATTTATGTTTATTATAAAAAATGCATACTTAAATGATTTATTTAATATAAATAAAAAAAAAATTAATATACAATTTTTTTTTAAGTATCATTGACAAATGATACTTTAAAAAAAATCATTATTATTAACATTTAAAACCGAAAAAACATTTTTTTTTAGGCCCATAGTATTCCAGCGATACCAAAACAGGTCTGGCTTCACCCCTGTAAATGATCGGAAATTATAATATCTTGTAATATTTCTGGTCCTCAAATTCTCGGTTTATTAAAAATTGTAAACACTGAATTAATGAAAAAACAAATTAATAAATTTACTATTGCAAAAATAATATTATTCAAAACTTATATATTTTAAATTATTAATTGTTTAAATACTAGGTTATTTAAACATAAATAAATAAATAAAAATTAAAAAAAAAAAATAACTAAAGGAAAAAACAATTATAATTTTTTGGATTATTATAAAGTTTCAATCATTTGAGTATCTGGTTGAACTATTTTCGAAGAACTTTTTTTAATAGTAGTTTTAGGGATCTGTTAAATATAAAAAGCCTTAAGGCATTTTATTTTATATAGATTTTAATTAAATAGAAAAAGGCATTTACTAATTATTGGACTATTAAATTTAAATTACACTTAGATTAATCACATAAGATAAATACTGCATAATTAAAAACACTGAGTTCTGTCTTTTTATCTAAAGGGAGGTTTAAGGCACTCTAATATATATATATATATATATATATATATATATATATATATATATATATATATATATATATATATATATATATATATATATATATATATATATATATATATATATATACATCTGTGTGTCAAAGTTTGTTTTTTGTATTTTCTATTATTAATTAGAACATAAGAAAATTGTTTGAATGTTTAATTGTATTAAATAAAAAACCTCCTCAATAAAAACTAAAAAGTTTTATCCTTTAAACAAAAATACTATTTTATTTTTTTCTTTTGCAATTTTTATATGGATTTAGAGATAAAGTAATAAAACTAATTTTGTCCCCCCCCCCCCCCCCCAAAAAAAAAAAAAAAACTTTAATAGGTCTCCCAAAAGAAAAAATTTGACAGGCCTTGTTAAGAAGTGTTACACATCTTGCTTTTTTCATAAATAATTAGTTAAGCAAAAACTTTTTTGTAAATGTAAATTTTTGTTTTTTTTTAAACATCTTAAACTTCCAATAAGGCTACTAGTAACCTCTATTAGAGTTGAAAGTTACTGGAAGAGAATCGAGTTTATAGAGAAAGATAATGATTGACAGATAACTTAAGAAATTAAAAATTATATGAATCAGGAAAGCAAGATGTAGAAAGCGAATTCTAAAACACTGATGTTCAAGAGAAAAACTAGACAAACAAGAGTTTTTGGAACACTAAAGAACAGTCACAGAAAAAGAATGAGACTTAATTGAATGATTAGTAACACAAGAATAAATTTTAGTAGATTAGCACAAGAAGCGGTAGCTTTTTAGAGCTGTCCCTATTATAGTATTTGTAAAAAAGAGAAAAAGAAGCAACATTATGATAATGTGATAATGGTTGGAGGTTGGCTGCAAGATCAGGTCCAAATATGTTTACAAAGCGAAATGTCAAAAGTATTCAGTAAAGCGAAAAAATTCTTTTGGGATTAATTACTTTGACACAGTCTTCTCTCCCTTCATTCTTTGTACCTTACAGTTAAATTTTTTCATATCATTTTTTTTAACAATTGTTTTCATTCTCTTTTGTTTTCTTATTTTTTCATGTTTAGGACAGGGTGGGGCAAGATTGTGTATTTGATTAATATTGTTTAATTTCTTTTATATACTATTGTTTAAGATGTTTACATATTTAAAGAGATCCCAAACTCCCAACACATGTTGTGTTCATATTAAAGATAATGTTAAAAAAAAAGGTTTGAACCAAATTTTTTTGATTAAAAACAAATAATGAATGCATACCGAGAAAAACTAATATTGTTGTTTTAGCCAAAGCTCGCCTTCTCCATTTTTTTTAATAACTCGGAGTCTTTAAATTATATGTCGCAATCTACAGACTTTGGCGATACCTTTGAAGCGCGTTTAATGAATAAAAGTTTTAGCATTTGATGTCGCGGTAGATTTTTAACAAAAGAAAAGTGTAATTAAACAGAGCTGCGTTTTTCTACTTTAATTCAAAAAGTACGATGTAGTAATTTTTTAACATACAGCAAAACAACTTTTACAATAATTATAAAAGGTTTTTATTTCATAGGAGGAACTTTTTTTTTTACCGATATCTTAATAATTTTTAGATTTATATATCTTACTTATATTTCTTTTGTTTTTAAATTAAAACAAATAGTAAAGCTTTACTTATAAATCTTTTGATTTTCATACAAGTGTTTTACATTATTTAGAACGTTATGTATGCGGTCTCTCGTTTTTGTGCAAAAAAACGCAGTATTATATGTTCTGAATCTTAATTTTTTTAATTTAAACATTGGGAACTTTTTTTTAACTTCTCTGGTCATTTTCACGCTATGATATTTTTTGTTTTCCCGTCGAAAAAAAGTATTTATTAACAATTAATTTCGTAAACTGACAGTATTAATTAGAGATATTTGATGAATTGTTAACTTTTTTTATTATTAAATTTTTTTGATTACGTTGATTTATTTTAAATTGCTAAATTTGCTGAATTGGATACGGATAAAAAGGAAATATCATTTTATTTTACATTTGATTTTTGATAATGAAACTTTTAAAATGTCGGCAACTTTATACCAATTAGAACCTGTTAAGGTTATGAAAAAAAAGTACAAGAATACACTAAACAATACAGTTGAAAGTAGTATCAGATATTAAAATTCGTGAAAGTGAGATCCTGGTTTTGCATTGAAAGTACAATCAATAGCAACACAAGTCGGCATTATAAATTTTGATTATAAGTTTACTGTTCAATATTTTATAGCCATCAAATAAAAAACATGAAGTTTGTATATTTTCGCCCGTTTTATACAACTAATATTTAACAAAAATACGG